GTACAAACACATATGTAATAGTTATGCTACTAGTATAAAGTGTGAAATAACATATGAAAAATAGGCAATAATAATGATATATAATGAACAAGGTTACACAGACCAATCAAGTACTAGATACATTAACTTGTCTATAAACTATACACTACATTGTACATTATACAAACTCTGTTCCTAGTATAAATATCAAGTTTATATGCAGATTTTAGCTCTAATTTACAGTATTACAGTATTACAAGATCTTAAATTAAAAAAAAATAAATTACTTTAAAAAAAAAGTTCATTTATTTAATATTTTTAAAATTATTTAACTGTAGTTTATAATGTATATATAAACATTTTTGATTAGTTATTCTATTTAATTTACATTTTTTTCATTAGTTTTTTTATTTTTTTAGTTTAATAAAATTGACAATTGACTAAATTAAAACCTTTTAGATTTTTTTCTGGCATGAGATTATTAAAATAAATATCAGTTAAGTATTATTAGAACTGTTAAAAGAAGTGAACTAAACTTTTTTTTTTCTTTTTTTAAATAAAATTAAGAATAGTTGATCTAAAAAAAGCTTTAAGATCTAATTGTTTAAAGGATGCATTTTAGAATTTTCTTATTTTATTTTGTAACTTTGACAAAGCTTCATTATGTTTTGATTCGAATATGTTATCAAAATCTTGCTGAAAAAGGTATTTTTCAAGCAACTTTATAGCATTTAGTGCTTTATTATAAATAATCTGGCATATTTTTATACTGTTATTATTCTTCTTATTATTACTTTTATTTACTTTAGATTTTATATTAGTGACTAGGTCTACAATTTCTTAATCATTCAATATTTCATTCATGTCATTTTTTTCTAAATAGTTGATATAATTATTAAGATTTATTACAGTTCGAAAGTAAAGCACTTTAATGTTTGTATACAATTTTTCTATCAATTCATTTTCATTATTATTATAATACAAACGACTTAATTATATTCAAAACTTCAAAATGCAAAGGCTTTTTAACTAAATATAAAACTAGCAAAAATAAATATACAGTTAAATAGTCTTTAATATATACTACAAAGGTACATATTTTTTTTGCTTACTATATTATTAAATTTTTTTGTAGTTAGAGTTTTATTAGAGCCAATTTTAATAGTAATTGCTAAATTTTCAGCACATGCACAATCATGTGAAACTATCTGATTGGTGACTATGATTGCATATGATCAAACATGATTGGCTGCATGTGATTTGTGTTACCAAAGATCATTACCAAAACTTTTGTAAAAGAATTTTTCATTATATGATGTAATTTTAATCTATTTTTATCTTTTTTAATAGTTATTAGGAATCTTTTCAGGAAAGAGAGAAAGTTATTGCTTTGGAACAAAAAGCTATAATTTACAAGTTCAAATGTTAAGAAATTCAGACTCAAGCCTAAGAATGTAACATGTCAAATAATTAAATTATAATATACTGTCAACTATCTATATAACAGAAATCTGAGTTAAGAAAAAATCTCTGTTATATAGCTTTATTATTATTATTCTATTATAATCATTATAAATTATTTATATATTAAGATTTGGTTTTTTGCAATTGGTTTGTTAAACTAGTAAATCTGATCTCGAGATGTCTATTATATTAGTAGTTGATAGTATTTGTCATGATTGCTGATTTACTTTGAAAATCTATATTTAAGCAGTACAGTATAAAATTCATAAGAAAATCTAAAAAATCTGTCAAAAGAAGTATAAAGTAAAGTGTTTAAGGATTATAGAATAAGAATAGATAGAATATCTTGAAAAATGCAGACTCCAGTTCTAGAAAGAAGCAATAATTAGTAGAATTAAAAGAACATCAATGTTCACTTCATAAAACTTACAGAAAAGACCATTGATATTATATAATTAATTCTTCATTCAGTATATAGCATATAAAAAATTATCTTACAATACCAGATCATTCTGCTAGTACAATCTAATACTATTTTATTATATAATAAAAATGATGCTAAATTATAATTATAACATGTACTAGCAGAATGATCTGGCATTATAAAATAATTTTTTTATATATTGTACAGTCTTTTTTGTATATAAAACTATTAGGAATTTTACTTAAAAATAAAAATACTATGCATTATATAAGTACTGAATGCAAAAATAATTGATTAAAAAGACTTAAAACAGTTGAGATAAGTTTGGTTGTTGAAAAACTTTTATTAGACATTGAACTTATTGTATTAAACTAAAATAAATTTTTTTAATGATCTAATGTCTATATTATTTAACATTATGTAGAATTTATTAAGTAGTTATATTTTAGTATAGATATATGTTACTATATTATTGTTTAATAAACATTATAAAGCAAATGTGATAATGTAAAAATTGTAATAGTTCAAAAGAAAAGCTATTATTTAAAAAGTTATAATTAATAAAGACTAAAGTTTTATAAGTAGTTTCTAATTTGGTGAATACAAATATGGGTAACTAAAGTAATTTTTGGTATTGCCAATTAATGATATATCTACTTAATTGAGATGACTGAGTATATACATATAAGTACTGTTATTCATATTAGTCTTTAACATCAAAAATAATATGCAAAAAAAAAATACAACAGTATCAGTTATATAAGCAGCCAATACAATTATATTTTTACAATATATACATCTAATCATTCAGAATATGGCTATTACTAAATAATTAAAATATTATTTTTATTCTAATAAAAAATAATATTTTAAGCTTTGCTAATGCATATATATCCTTATATAAACTAATTTATTATATTTATTAGTGCTCTTATATAAACTAATCACATGCATATTAAAATTTTTTTATTTAAAGTTGACTAATTTATTAATTAATAATAAAAAGAAGTGTGAAAATAAAAATTCTTTATTTTTATTGATTTTCATTTTTTAATATATTTGTTTTTTTTTAATTTTAATTTTATAATTTTTTTTTTTTATATTATTTATTATTATTTTTTTTTTAGTTTACTGATTAATATTGCCAAATTCTTCTAAAATACTTGTAGAAACATAGTGATGTAATTGATACTATTTTACTGCAAAAACAGCTGCCTTATCTATAAGACCAAGTTCATAAGCACTCATGTAGTATTCAGAACAACATGTAAATCAGTGAATTTTTATTAGACTAACAGATTCCAATGCATATAGTACAACTTCCTAAAGGTCTTTGAATATGTAGTTGCAATAGAGATGTAAATACCTTTTTGTTTCTGCTTAGAATGACTCAATATAATTAAGTTCACAATAAAACTTTAGATAAAACACACACATATAGCCTGCTGCTTCAATAATATAAAAAAATTATTAATATTAATAAGTTAAATTATTAACAATTTTTATTTTATTATACAAAAATTGCTTCTTGTAGATGTGATTTTTGAGATGCAAAGTCAGACTGGATAGAAAAAATACATGTTGTACAACAATTCAGATTAATTAGATCTGAATTATTTTGTTTATATGCATTACATTTTTTTATCAAGCCTGATATTCACAATCCATGCTTACAAATGACTTGTCAAATATCTTTGGGTTTTACTACACCATCGATATCTGTAAACATCATGATATATGTCAAGCCATCAGATTTTTAACCATTATAGAAAAGAGATTGTTTTCTATCATTTTTCATATTTATTCTTGTAACCACTAATGCATTATCAGCAAATGCATTGTGATTGCAACTATTATCAAACAAAAACAAAGCAATCTTTCCTAAATAAGTTTATTTAAAAATTGAAATTGCATGTTCACTTATCTGCTTAATGAGATCTTTATTTGTTCACTAGCTATTATGATTTGTATCAGAATGCATAACAACACAGGCTTTAGTATATATAAGCTGCTTATTATCAGATAATAAATCATTAATAGCACACTTCTCTGAAAGTTGAAAACATCTGATAGATTCACAAATAAAGTTACTTACATGGATACTAAGACCTTGCAACTTTTAATGAGATTGACTTTCATCTTCTGGACCTCAGGCCTTAACAGCACTATTCTTAGTATAAAATAATGACTCATTCTGAGTAATAGAAACAATCTTAGATAAAAGTAAAGATAAAAGAATCTAATCTAAATTTTCATCTTTATAAGTAGCTATTCTATTTCATAATTCTGCAAATTTTTGCAAAAATTCATGCTAATATACTACTACATCCTTATGTTTGTAACCATCAAAATATATATTTTTTGAATAATCTTTATATTGCCAACCAAGCCTATACAACTATTTACATGTTGTTGTACATAAAATGATTGTTTTTTTCTCTATTCCAAAAGCAAGTATAATCTTATCCTTAATGAATTTTACAAATTCAACAATTTTTAATGTAAATTTATGTGTACACAAATATTTAGTAACTCATAATTTAAAATTTTTATAGAGAAAAAGAGATCTAATCTTTGCATGACAATCACATTTAGATGTAATAATCTCATCTTTATTTAGCTACTAGTTTGCCTAAGAGTAAATAAGCCATGCATGCTATGATTCTTTGTTCAAGTTCTGAGAAAAAAATATACTTACATTCATTTTGCTAAATTCCTGATCCTAAGCCAGATAGAGATATTGACTCATCATCCTAAGCTGCAAATCATCACTCTTATTTTTTAACAATAAATCTAAAGATCCTAACATAAATTTACTATTATTATCATTACTACTATTGTTTGTATTATCAAATATAAAATCATAATTTTCCATATGTGACTTAGGAACTTTAACATTCTTTAAGAGAAACATATTAGTAATGTTTTTAGAACTTAAAGCTGCTTTTTTCCAATATGCTCTCTTGTTGCACAATGTTGATTCTGCATTATCTCTATATATTGGTTTACAGAAACTTATAGTTTATATTTTTGTCTTTGTATTTTTAACTAATTGCTTCAGTGTATTTTGTTGCAGCCTTTGTAGTTGATCCATAATGTCTTTATTATTAAACTGATTTTTCTTATCTTCTATTCAAAAAGTACTAAAACATTCATCACATTCATCAGGTTTAGTATCTGATAACTTATCAGGGTTTTCTATTTGCATCTTACTAATAACTTTCTCATACTTGATAGGTTCAGACTCTAATTCTTCAACTATCCTAGATTCTAATTCTTCAACTGGTCTAGACTTTAATTTCTTATCAGAATTTTTTGCTTGCTTCTAACATTTTTTAATAGCTTTTAGTGGTTGTTTTACATGTTTGCTTCTTTTTGGCATTGAAATACTGTTAAATTCAAAAATATCTAAAATATTAGTTGTATTTGTAGCTAGTTTAATATCTTAAAAACAAATCAATCATGAAAAATTATCTAAAAAAAAAAATTTTAAGAAAGTAATTAAATACTTATAAATAATGTTAAAGTTAGTATATAATTAGATAATTATTTGATTTTTAGGAAATTGTTTAAATTAGAAACAATCTTTTGTAAAACATTATCTAATTTAACTAATTCTTTTAAACTTAATTTTTTACTTTTTTTTGTTTTTACAAAAGAATAAAAGAAAAGACCTATATATATTTTTTTAAATATATATTACATTTTTTATATGAATTAATATGAGTAACAGGCAGAGAAAACTAGAATATCTAAAAATAGATTTTTTTATACAAAGAAGTACAAACTTTAATACAATACAGAAAAATTTAATTCAGAGCTAACTTTCTTTAAATCATGTGTTTTACTAATAACTTTAAAATACTATACTTCTCTATATAAAAAAAACTATTTTTAGATATTCTGGTTTTCTCTGCCTATTACTCATATAATATTTAAAAATCTATAGTTTGTTATACTAAAGCTCACTGTGATAAGATCTATAATATATATATAAAGTATTAAACACTTGTTACTAATTCTATTCTTATATATTATTATTTTTTATATTTTAAAATCTCTTTAACATAGCTTAGAAATTACTTTATTTATTTATAAAAAAAAGTTTATACTTTTAGTTTTTTGTAATAATTCAACTAACATTTAACATTTCAGTAATTATATATAGTTTTATAATTGCAGTATACTTAGAAACTTCATCTTTTAAGTAAAATACCTTTAGGTGTAGAATTATTTAAAGAAGATGTTATATTTAATTTTATTTTTTTATTTATGAAATTTTATATTTAAAAAAAGTACTTTAAACTGTATAAATACAATTGTAAATTAGTATGAATTATATATTAATTTATATATAGAATTTATCTTTAACAAATTAATTGTAATGATATCCTGGCTTGGCAAAATTTACAATTAATTGCATTTTTAAAGAAATCGCACAAGCAACTTTATTAATAACTTTATCATATAATGATTGAATATTAACAAAATAAATGTAGTAATAATGGTATTTAATAAAAAATTAGTGTATTGCTTAAGCATTAATTGCAGTTCTTATTTTGATTGATTATAGTAAATGAGCATTATTATGTTTATTAACTAATCATATAGAGAATAATGTTTGAACAAACTTTGATTGCTTCTTAATTTGCTTATTTATTTCATTATACGTAAATATAATTATAATTGTATATGATTAAGATCATGAACCAATTACATTAAAGTTGAAGCTTGAGAAAACTTTTAAACCATTCTTAAACTTTTTCTTTAAAGTGTTTACTAAATGTAATAAAATTTAATTTTAACTATTACTTAGCTCAAAAAAAATCTGAAGCTATGATCACTAATTTTTTCAAACTAAGGATGCTCTCAAGCATCTCCCTTAATATAATCAACTAGTAAATGAGGTTGTGCACAAGCATCATAAATAATTGACTCATTTTTACAGCAATTCTTCTGAAGGTTTATATTGTGAAATGTAAATCTTAAATTTTAGCCAATAAATACATCTCTATGATAAAAAAAATGATCTAGACTATTTTTTTTTCATTGTGATGACAAGCTTACTTAACTGTCCAAAATATGTTCTACTAATTAAAAATTGAGCACTGATCTATTAATTTAGGTGCTTAAGAATATCCTAAAATTGGCATTTTGAACAATAAATTTTTAACAATTTATTTTTTATTTAACTGCATTAACCACTCAATTAATCATAAGAATTTGAACAACATCTTATTGTTAAAAACCAATTTTATACTACAGTAACCTATTAAAAAAGTAAATTATTGAAATGCTTATATATGCAAATATAACAAAAGTAAACTGTGCATTTCAAAATGCATATTTGTATATATATGTATATGACAAAAATAAATCATGCATTTGAATTTATATATACATATATATATATATTTTGTATATTTTACATTAATTATTTTTATCTTTTTTTCTTAAGTTTGCATTAATTAATTTTTCTATTCAGCAAATTTTGAAGCACCCTTGCTCATAATTTGTGTTAATTAATTTTTCTATTTAGCAAATTTTAGAGCAATTATATACTTGATTAGTCAATAATTATGTGAAGATCTGCAAAAATTTTAGCAGTGGCTTAGCTATTTGATGGGATTAAGCTGTTTACACTATAGTAACAAGTTCTTCATTATTGTTAATAACAGATTTTTCATTATTTTACATATTCAGAAGAATTCCAGTATATTAAGGGAGATGCTTGAG